GAGAGAGAGAGAGAGAGAGAGAGAGAGAGAGAGAGAGAGAGAGAGAGAGAGAGAGAGAGAGAGAGGACAGAAGCAACTTAGAACCGAGGAGGAATTTCTTAATAGTTAGAACAATTAATCAATGGAACAGAAATTGCCTCCAGAAATTGTGAATGCCCCAACACTGGAAGTCTTTAAGAAGATGTTGGATAGCCATTTGTTTGAAACAGTACAGGGTTTCCTGCCTGAGCAGGGGGTTGGACTAGAAGACCTCCAAGGTCCCTTCCGACTCTGTTATTCTATTTTAAAATTGCAGAAAAATTCATCCTCTGCAACGTCCAGCCTTTGCAGATAATCTGTGGCTGCCAAAAAGGAGGCCGGGAAGCATGATGGACAGGAGGCTGGCAAAGCTCCTACTTAAAAAGAGAAAAATTCAAACGAAGCAACCCACTTATTTGATGTCCTTCACACCTTAAGATTAAACCCAGCTGGAGATTCCATCAAAGAACACAGAAAGAGAAATTGCTCCAAGATTGCTAGGAGGGTTTTGTCCTCTCCCCAAAGTCTCGTCTTAAGGCTGAGACAGCGAATAAGAAAAGAAGAGGGATGTCATATTTGCCGAAACCTAATGATTACCCTGTCTTTTTTTTTTAACACAGTAGGAGGACATTTGTTTGACATAATACTTAATCCATGATGGCCTCAAATCAAAAAGATTCGGGAAGTAACAAATTGTACTGAAAGGCACAATGTCAGGGTTCCAAGTAATATACCCATAGCAAACAAAACTCTGACGCAGGTAGATTCCTCAAAGAATAATTTTATTGGATATGTCATATTGGCACAGTCCTGGTGAAAACCGACTCTGATTATTCCCGTGGTTTTCACCCAATTAAAAGTAAAAGTTTTCCACTTTCACAAAACAATCGGTCACATGGCCCAATCAGGATACAATCCAGTGGCTAGGTGATCCTAGTTCCTCTCCTTCCGAGCACTTGCAGGAATGACCTTGGTTCCCAAGAGAAAGTATTTTGTTTTGACTACAACGCCTTTTAGTCTTTTAGGAGCTGCAGCATGCACAGAGGCACAGCACAGACTGAT